AGAAATATAAATTGCCCAAAATGAACCAAGAAGATCAATTAAAATCAATTAAATAATTAAAATCAATTAAATCAATTAAATAAGCCAGTATCTTACAATGAGATAGAGAAAGCAATCAGAAGTCTTCTAACAAGGAAAAGCCCAGGACCAGATGGATTCACTATGGAATTTTATAAGACCTTTAAAGAGGAACTAATATCCATACTCCTCAGACTCTTCAGAGAAATAGAAACAGAGGGACCTATCCCAAACTCATTCTATGATTCCAATATCACACTCATCCCCAACCAGGCAAAGACCCAACAACAACAACAAAAAAAGAACTACAGACCTATATCCTTGATGAACACAGATGCAAAGGTCCTTAACAAAATTCTAGATACCAGAATCCAGAAACACATTAAAAAAAAAAAAAACTCCATACATTACGACCAAGTAGGTTTCATCCAGAGATGGAGGGATGGTTTAACATATGTAAATCAATAAATGTAATCCATCACATCAACAGATCCAAGGTCAAGAACCACATGACTATCTCCATTGACATGGAAAAGGCTTTTGGTAAAACACAACATTCATTTATGTTAAAAGCTCTGGAGAAAACAGAAATAGAAGGAACATTCCTTAAAACAATAAAAGCCATATACGACAGACCAATAGCAAATATTATATTTAATGGGGAAAAACTACAACCAGTTCTACTAAAATCAGGAACAAGGCAAGGATGCCCACTTTCTCCACTCCTCTTCAATATAGTTCTGGAATCCTTAGCCAGAGCAATAAGGCAAGAAAAAGACATTAAAGGGATCTGCACAGGGAAGGAAGAAGTTCAACTATCCCTTTTTGCAGATGACATGATACTATACCTCCATGATCCCAAAAACTCCACCCCCAAACTCTTAGAATTTATAACTTCGGCAAAGTAGCAGGATACAAAATTAACCCACAAAAACCAGTTGCCTTTCTGTACAGCAACAATGTACAAGCAGAAAGGAAAATCAAGGTAACAACTCCATTCACAATAACCTCAAAAAAATATTTAGGATTTAACGTAACCAAAGATGTAAAACAACTATTTAATGAAAACTATAAAAATGTAAAGAAGCCGGGCGCTGGTGGCTCACGCCTGTAATCCTAGCTACTCAGGAGGCTGAGATCTGAGGATTGCGGTTCAAAGCCAGCCCAGGCAGGAAAGACCGTGAGACTCCTATCTCCAATAAACCACCAGAAAACCGGAAGTGGCGCTATAGCTCAAGTGGTAGAGCGCTCGCCTTGAGCTGAAGAGCTGAGGGACAGAGCCCAGGCCCAGAGTTCAAGCCCCATGACCAACAACAACAACAAAAAAAAGTAAAGAAATTATAGAGGACACCAGGAAATGGAAAGACCTTCCACGTTCTTTGATAGGCAGACTTAATAATGGCCATACTGCCAAAATTGATATACAAATTCAACGCAATTCCTATTAAAATCCCAATGGCGTTCATTACTGAAATACAGAAAACAGTCCAAAAATTCATATGGAAAAACAAAAGACCTAAAATAGCCAAAACAATTCCAGGCAAAAAGGACAACATGGGCGGGATCTCAATACTGGACTTCAAACTCTACTATAGAGCCATAATGACAAAGACAACTTGGTACTGGCACAAAAACAGACCTGAAGACCAATAGAATAGAAGATCCAAAAATAAAATCACACGCTTACAGTCAGTTGATATTTGACAAAGGAGCCAAAGACATACAGTGGGAGAAGCACTGCCTCTTCAACTACTGGTGCTGAACTGGGCAGCCACATGCAAAGAACTAAAAGTGGACCCCAGCCTAACACCATGCACTAACAAACTCAAAATGGATTGAACACCTTAACATCAAAGCTGAAACTACTGCAGGACAGAGTAGGAGAGACACTTGAACTTACAGGCATAGGCAGGAACTTCCTGAATAGAGTTCCAGGTCACAACAAATTGGAGAGAGACTTGACAAATGGGACTACCTTAAAATAAAAAGTTTCTGCACAGCTAAAGACATAGCAACCAAACTAGAAAGACAATCAACTAATTGGGAAAAAATATTTACCAGCAATATATCAGACAAAGGGCTAATATCCAGTATATACAGAGAACTCAAGAAACAAATCCCTCCCAAACCTAATAAACCCATTACTAAATGGGCAAGGGAACTAAAGAGAGACTTCTCAAAAGAAGAAATAAAAATGGCAAAGAAGGGGCTGGGAAGTTGGCTCAGTGGCAGAGTGCTTGCCTTGCATGCCTGAGGCCCTGGGTTCAATTCCTCAGCACCACATAAGCAAAAAGAAAAAAGCTGTAAGTGGCGCTGTGGCTCAAGTGGTAGAGCGCTAGCTCTGAGCTGAAGAGCTGAGGGACAGCGCTCAGGCCCAGAGTTCAGGCCCCACGACGGGACCCAAAAAAAAGAAACAAAAATGGCAAAGAAGGGCTGGGAAGGTGGCTCAGTGGTAGAGCACTTGCCTTGCATGCATGAGGCCCCCTGGGTTCGATTCCTCAGCACCACATGAGCAAAAAGAAAAAAGCCGGAAGTGGCGCTGTGGCTCAAGTGGTAGAGTGCTAGCCTTGAGCTGAAGAGCTGAGGGAAAGCGCCCAGGCCCCAAAGTTCAGGCCTCACGACCAGACCAAAAAAAAAAACAAACAAAACAAAAAAATAGCAAAGAAACACATGAGGAAATGTTCACCATCCCTGGTTGTAAAGGAAATGCAAATAAAGACAACCCTGAGATACCACCTTACCCCAATCAGATTGGCCTGCATCCTAAATTTAGCCAACAACAAATGCTGGAGGGGATGCAGAGAAAGAGGAACCCTATTACACTGCTGGTGGGAATATATACTAATACAACCACTTTGGAAAGCAGTCTGGAGGGTCCTCAGAAAACTAAATATAGACCTCCCTATGACCCAGCCATACCACTTCCTAGGCATCTATCCTGAACAACAGGAACCAGGGTACAAGAACATATGCACCTCCATGTTCATTGCAGTGCTGTTTACAATAGCCAGGACATGGAAACAACCCAGACGCCCAAATAACAGAAAAATGGATCAAAAAATTGTGGTACCTATCTATAATAGAATATTATGCAGCCATTAGAAAGGATAAAATAATGGCATTTGCAGGGACATGGATAGAACTAGGGAAAAAAAAAAAAACATGTTGTGTGATTTATGCCAAGAGCAAAGAGACAAACAGCACATGGTCTCCCTGATAAGTGGATGTTAAATCCAAAATGTAAGGAGATACAACAAAGTAAACAAGACTCAAGAAACTGGTCTAATCATTACTCAATTACCTCATGCTGCTGACCACATATATGGTATATATGTGCATATCTGAGGGAAACTAAGAGGACACAAACAGAGGAAAACATAGAATAGCAGGACCATAGAACAGCTTCACTGGTCGTTGATCAAAACGAACTAAGCAACTCAATGGCAGTGATGGGAGGGAGGGAATGAGTGGGAAAGAGGGAAAAGCTGAAATTAAGCAAAAGAAATGTACATATCACCCAATGTGGAAGAAATAACTGTATTGTCAAAGCTCATAGAACTCATAAACTTTATAGACCACGATAAAGACAATTTGCCCCATGAAGGTTAGAATGTGTCTGTGACTTTAAGTATCACTATCCCACAACACTGTGAAATTTATGAACTTTATGTAATCACTTAATCACAGTAAAAAAAATAATTGCTATAAAAACCTTTCCATTTGTTCTTTTTAAATGGGATATTTGAACTAATATTTTTCTAATAATCATTTTTGTGAATATACTACAAAACATTGAATTATATATTTAGAAGTAAAGCTTAACACAAAGTATTCTGTAATTTAAAAAGAAAATTATTTTGTGTCTAGGTATTCTTTTTTGTGCTTAGCTTGCTTACTCACAACTGGCAATTTACCACTTGAGTCACATCTCCAGTTCCAGATTTTGTCTGGTTAATTGGAGATGAACTTTTGTAGATTTGTCTGTCTGGGCTGGTTCTGAACCTCAATTCTCAGAGCTCAGCCTCCTGCGTAGTTGGGATTATAGGCATGAGCCAATGTGACCCAGCAGCATATAAAATTTGATCCCTAATATCCCCCCCACCCACCCCCAATCCTGAGGGTCTAGGCTCTGTCCCTGAGCCTTTTTGTGCTCAAGGATAATGTTCTACTACTTGAGCCACAGCATCACTTCTTCCCCTTTTTCTAAGTAGTTTTCTGGAAAGAAGTCTCACAGATTTTCCTGCCCTGGCTGGCTTCAAACCATGATCCTCAAATCTCACCCTCATGAGTAGCTAGAATTACAGGTCTGAGCCACCAGCACCTGGGTCCTAATATTCTTTAATGTACTCAAGGTATGAGTGACATTTGTATACATAATGCTTGTTATACACTAATGCAATTACACATTTTCAAACACTGCTACTACCAAGTTCAAAAAAGTATATATTGACTATGGCTAATTCCTGTCAAACATGTTGTTTGGGGCTCAAAGATAAAATATTTCCTTCCTCTGTCTTCATCTCTATCAGAGTAGCTTCTGACCAATCAAATAGAAACAGAAATCTACTGTTAGAACTTCCAGAAAAGCTCACTTCCTTGATAACAGAAAGACAGATTTAGTTGTTAATACTTCTTACCCTCTGCCCGTTCCCTCTCTTCTACTCAGAATTTGGACAAAGTGGCTAGCTGTGTAACAATCATCTATGAACTTGAGGATGAAAGACAAACTAAAAATGGCTGGGCTGACAAAAAGATTTCCTTAGGGCAACTAACACAATCCTGGACAGACTATTTCCAAACTGCTTACAACTACACAAGAGAAAATCCCACTCTTCATTGTGGTTGGGATTCCATTACACACAGACCCTGACACAATACAACCCTGACACGATGATACAACCTTAATACACACAGTGAAAATTATGCTCTATTTACTGACAACCTACCACTTAATCACAAAAGAAAACCGACAGAAATCATACCTTGGCAGTAGTATTTGGTTTCAGACCACATCGGTAAGTCTTTGTCATTTGTGGAGTGAGCTGGATCTCCTTAGTGAGCTGCCTCCACTTCCTACACTCAGGTTTTGTACACTGAACCTAAATGGGAACAAGTCAGTATCAGTAAGTCAGCTAATTGTGAGTACCATTTCTATCCTCTTCTACAGGTGACCTGACCAACTTGTAAAAAAATTATTAACTTTTAAAAACTTTAAAAATTATTAATTATTAACTGGAGATCACAGACCCACACATGCTAGGCAAATGCTATGCCACAGATTTACATCCCCAGCCACCTTGACCAATAATAATAATCTTAGTATTAATAATAATTATTAATAATAATCTTAGTATTTTTCTTCCTCTTATATCACCAACCCTCCATTATCATCACTTTACCCCATCAGGGTATTTTTCCCCCCTTTGGTGCTAATACTGAGGCTTGAACTCAGGGTTTGGGCACTGTCCCTGGGCATTTTTGCTCAAAGCAGCACTCTACCATTTGAATCACAGTTCCACTTCCTTTTTGTGGCTAACTGTAGATAATAGTCTCATGGACTTTGCTGCCTGGGCTGGCTTCAGAACCTTGATCCTCAGATCTCAGCCTCCTGTGAGTAGCAAGGATTATAGGTATAAGCCACCAGCACACAGCTAATTTTCAATTTAATAGGATCTGAGAACTGCTATAGGAACATTTTTCCAGCTTAAATAAAAAAGTAATAATCAGGGTTACAATGTAGTTATCAGCCAAAGAGTATATACACACTAAATGCAAATAAGGCACAGTAACTGACTGGATCCTGGAATTATTTTTTTTAATTGTGAAAATACCGTACAGAGGGGTTACAATTACATGGGCAAGATAATGAGTACATTTCTTATTAAGCATTGTTGCCTCCTCCTTTGTTTCCCCTTCCCATCCCTTCCCTTCCCCCACCTCCCCCGACAAAGTTGTAAAGTTCGTTTTTCGACATAACAACTTGTACATGTCATTGTTGCAATGGGTCCACCTGAATCCCTATTTAAACCATTTGTTTTTTCCCTTCCCCTCCACAAATTATACCAACATCAAATACAGTGAGAGCAGGGATTATACAGTGGGGGAGGGACATACAAAGCAACAAAGAAATCAGCTTATAAGTGTTAGAAACAATCGCATGAAAGAAAAAAACATATGAATACTTATCTTGGGATTCATTTCACCTAACATCAACTTATCTGACCTTTTCTGCTTGTCTCAGACATATACTAGTTATGGCAAATAAAGGAAACCATGGGACCTATGTTTCTTTGGTCCTGGCTTACTTTACTTAATATAATTTTTTCCAAGTCTTTCCATTTCCTAATAAATCCTGGAATTATTATAAGGATACTGGGGACAAAACTCAAAATCTGAATGAAGTCTAACAGAGACACAGATACTCTACTGGTATTCACTTTCTCAGTCTAACATATAATCATAGTCTGTCAGGGTTAATTGCACGAGGGGGAACTGAGAGAAGGAAATCAAAAAACTCTCTATGCTATCTTGGTAGCCTTCTGTAAATGTTAAACTAATCCAAAATTTTAAGAATGTTTATGTTTAAAAGTGTGTGGATTTAAAAAAATAAAATAAAAGTGTGTGGATTTCCATACACAGAAGTGACAACCAATTTCACACATATATAAAGATTAACTCAAAATGTATCAAGTAACTAAGAGCTAGAATATCAAAATTCTTACAACAGTGAGCAATCTTTATGACCTTGGGTTTAGGAGTGAATTCTTAGCTATGATTCCAAAAGCACAAGCAAGGGGAAAAAAAAAAAACAAGTAAGTTTTATCAAGATTAAAAACTTTCATACATCAAAAAGGCAAAGTAAAAAGAAAACCTATAGAAAAAATTGAAATCATCTATCTAGAGGGAATTTAATATCCAAGACAAAGAATTCTTACAACTCAATAACAGTAAGACAACTTTACTGGGGGCTGGGAAGGTGGTGGCTCAGTGGTAGAGCACTTGCCTTGCATGCATGAGACCTTGGGTTCGATTCCTCAGCACCACATAAGCAGAAAATGCCAGGAGTGGCACTGTGGCTCAAGTGGTAGAGTGCTAGCTTTGAGATGAAGAGCTCAGGGACAGCACTCAGGCCCAGAGTTCAAGCCCCACGACCAACCAAAAAAAGGGGGGAAGGGGAGTAGTTATGGATTTAGGAGGGAAGGGATGGTAGGGGAAAAACAAAGGAGGAGGCAACAATACTCTATAGGAAATGTACTCATTACCTTGCTCATGTAACTGTAACCCTTCTGTATAGTATTTTTACAATAAATAAGTACAAAAAAAGACAACTTTACTTAAAAAATATGGAGAGGATCGCAATAGACTTTTCTTCAAAAATATGCAGACAGTCAACAGCACAAAGAAAGATGCATTAAATAGTCATTAGGGAAATGCAAATCAAAGCACATGGAGATACCACTTTATGGAGTTGGTGACAAGGAGAAACAAGACTTCACACATAAAGGCAGGTGAAAAATGAGACAGCAGCTATTAAAAAGTTTGGAGGTTGCTCTAAAAGCTAAACACAGAATTGCCACAAGACCCAGCAGTTCCATTCCAGATACATATCTAAAGAACTGCAAACAGGTATTGAAACAAGTATCTGTGCATGAATGTTCACAGCAAGGTTATTCACAATAGACAAAAGGCTAAAACAATCCAAGTATCCATCAAAGGTGAAGGGATATAGCCTGGCTGTGGGCTTACATCTCAAACTGGAATACAGCCAAGCAAGGGCTCACATGTGAAATCTTAGCTACTCAGAAGGAAGATACCCAAAGGTATCCCAAGTCTGAAACCAGCCAGAGCAGTCTGAGAAACTCCATCTCCAACTAGCCAGAAAAAAGCTGGGCTGGTGGCATGGTTCAAGTGGAAGAGTACTAACCGAGGAAAGCACCATAGTGCAAGCCCCAGTATTGGCTCTCAAAAAAGGGAATGGATAAATAAAATGAGGTATATCCTTCTTTCCAATGTCATATTACTCATATAAAGCAGGATGAAATTCTGATGAATGCTATAATGTGTATGAATCCCCGAACATATGGTAAAGTGACTTTTTTTAACATGAAAGGGTCATATACTGCCTATTTATATGAAACCTCCAAAACAATAAATCCACAAAGACAGAAAGCAGATTAGTAGTTTCAGGCAATGGAAGGCAGGAGGACTAGAGGCTGACCACTTAATGGGCACCAGACTTCCTTTGTAGCTGATAAAAATACTTCAGAATTAGAGATGGTGGCTGCTTACACTGAACACACTAAATGCCACTGAATTGAACAGTTTAAAATGATTAATTATGAGCACTAGAGCACAGCTTAGAACATGTTTATCACACTCAAGGCCCCAAGTTAATCTCTAGCAACACATAAAAGGAAACTACCAAAATGGTGTTATGTGAATTTTACTTCAAATTTTTTTAAGAGTGCACAAAAATCACAAAAAAAAAAAAATCAGCAAGTCATTTGTTCAGGAGGAATACTTACGTAATAAATGTCATTGCTAAAATACCTTTTCAGAGAATAGCTAAGAAAATGGAAAGGACAGTTGAAAGTTGTAAAATTATAAAGTATGATTTTTATTTTTATTTTTTTGTCAGTCGTGGGGCTTGAACTCTGGGCTTGGGCGCTGTTTGTGAGCTCTTCAGCTCAAGGCTAGCACTTCACCGCTTGAGCCACAGCACCACTTCCGGCTTTTTCTGTTTATGTGGTGGTGAGGGCCTCACTCTACCACTCAGCCACATTCCCAGCCCTAAAGTATGACTTTTAAATAAAAGATTTGTATACAATGCACAAAATTATTGTAATAAAAATATGAACAGAAAAAGAAAAGACTACTATGGCTAGCATCAGCTTAGCCTGAGTCTTTTATTTGTGCCAGTACTGGGGCTTAAACTCACATGGCTTTTTCCCTCAAGGCTGGTACTCTACCATCTGAGCTACATCTTCACTTCCAGCATTTTTTTTTTTTTGGTCCAGTCGTGGGACCTGAACTCTTGGCCTGGGTGCTGTCCCTCAGCTCTTCAGCTCAAGGCTAGCACTCTACCACTTGAGCCACAGCGCCACTTCCGGCTTTTTTTCTGCTTGTGTGGTGCTGAGGAATTGAACCCAGGGCCTTAAGCATGCAAGGCGAGCACTCTACCATTGAGCCAACTTCCCAGCCCTCACTTCCAGCTTTTTGCTTATTAAAGTTCTCATGGACTTTTTTTGTTGTTATTGTTGGTTGTGGGGCTTGAACTCCGGGCTTGGGCGTTGTCCGTGTGCTCTTCAGCTCAAGGCTAGTGCTCTACCACTTGAGCCACAGCGCCACTTCCAGATTTTTCTGCTTATGTGGTGCTGAGGAATTGAACCCAGGGCCTCATGCATGCAAGGCAAGCACTCTACCACTGAGCCATCTTCCCAGCCCTCTCATAGACTTTTAAACTTGATCTGTCTCTGAACTACAATCCTCAAATCCCAGATTCAGAGCAGCTGGGATTACAGGTTTTGAGGCACTAGTGCCTGGCTTATGCTGAATCTTTAGCATTTCTCTTATACTATGCCAAACTCATCTTTCTACAAAAACTAAACTTTTACTTTAATAACCACAAGACAATGAAGTTAAGAAAAAGCTCCTAACACTGAATACTTCCATTCTACCAATACTCTATCAATAGACCAAATAGAACACCACTCCTCTTACCCAGTAGGGGAGCTGCTGGTCAGCCATGAATGCTTTGGGACTAGGTTCCATCTTGCCATTACTGGTCCACATTTTTTTCCATGTAGTATATTTGTCATATCCATCTTTATGGCTGCAAACAGTCAAAATGCATATAGATCAGGCTGTAAATGAATCGTTTCCAAAATATGACACAGGTTAATAAATCTTATGTGAGGAACATTACTACTCTTGGTTCATGGGAAGGAAATGATTATGGCTCACATACTGAAGACTGTCAGAAAGGGGCATGCATTGTTTCAGTATGAAAAGCTAGTAAAAAGGGCAGAACATTATTTGAAAGAAGACTTAGCTAATACTTTCAAAGGTAGAAAGTAAATCCTAGGGTCACCATTAAAATTTTATATCAGTAAATGAAATAGTTATTAAAGACCCTTATTTAAGGAGTTGGAGGCAGCACTCAGGTGGTAGAGTACCAGCCAATGAGTAAAAAGGTCAAGATACCAAGTTCAATTCCCAGTCTCAGACCAAAAGTTAAAAAGATACTCAATTTGAACTCAGTATCCACAAAAAAAAAAAAAAAACCATAGAAAATGACATCTTAGCTGGGCAACAAGATCACACCTGTAATCCTAGCTACTCAGGAGGCTGAGTTCTGAGGACCAAGGTTCAAAGCCAGCCTGGGCAGTAATGTCCATGAGATTCTTATCTCCAATAAACCATTCAGAGAACCAGAAGTGGAGCTGTGGCTCAAGTGGTAGAGCACTCGCCTTGAGCTAAAATGCTGAGGGACAGCACCTAGGCCCAGAGTTCAAGCCCCACAACCGACAAAAAAAAAAAAAAGAAAAAGAAAATAACATTTTAATCTAGTTATATGAGTAAGAAAACAATTTGTTTCTAGATAACCTTGAAATCAAAGAGAAAGACTCAGGAGGAATTAAAATATTTTGAAGTTAGGCATAATAGTACACGTTTATAATCCTTGAATTCCAAAGGCTGAGGTGGGATTTTGAGTTTGAGATCTACTTGGACTATGTAATGGTACTGTATCAAGAAAGAAAAGAAAAAGCCGGGCGCCGGTGGCTCACACCTGTAATCCTAGCTACTGAGGAGGCTGAGACCTGAGGATTGCGGTTCAAAGCCAGCCCAGGCAAGGAAAGTCCGTGAGACTCTTATCTCTAATAAACCACCAGAAAACCAGAAGTGGCACTGTGGCTCAAGTGGTAGAGTGCTTGCCTTGAGCTCAAGAGCACAGGGACAGTGCCCAAGCCCAGAGTTCAAGCCCCATGACCGACAAAAAAAAAAAAGAAAAGAAAAAAATATACAGAAACAAAATAAAACAAGGGTGGTTTGTACTTGTTAACCCTAGCTACTCAAAAGACTAAGATCTGGAAACTAAGTTTGAGGCCAGATCAGGAAGAAAAGTTGGAGAGACTCCATCTCCAAAATAACCAGCAAAAATAGCAGGTTTAGTGGTGTAGCTTATGTGGTAGAGTGCCAGTCATAACTGTAAGGCTCCGGGTTTAAATTCTGGACTGGCAACAACAATAAAAAAAATAAGGGCTGGGAATATGGTTTAGTGGTATAGTGCTTGTCTAGCAAGCATGAAAATTCTGGGTTTGATTCCTCAGTACCACATAAACAGAAAAAGTCATAAACAGAGTTGTGGCTCAAAGTGGTAGAATACTAGCCTTGAGTAAAAAGCTCAGGGACAGTGCCCAGGCCCTGAGTTCAAGCCACCCCAGAACCAGCAAATAAATATTTGTGGAATATACCTAAATCAGTACTTGGGAGGGAAATTTGTAACTTTATTTATTAGGAAAAAATATCACAAACAAGTAACTTTAACCTTCCAACTTAGGAAACTAGAGAAGGAAAAATTAAACCAAAAAAAGCTAAAGGAAGTTTAAAAATATAGAGTATACTCTAATTAAAAATGAATAGAAAATCAAAATCTGATTCTCTGAAATTTCAGTAAAATTTCTTTACTGGGATAATTGGGGGTAGGGAAAGAGAAAAACCATTTTACGAAAATAAGAATTCTGTCCAGTACCTCTACTGGCAGCTTTCCTGTTAATTCTGTAACACACCCTCTGACAGGTTTGTGACAGAATAGCCAAGCAGCTTAGAGATTTTCCAGAACTTTCTCTAGATGTAGCATACCTCCAGGACATAAACTAGTGGTACACTAAAGACAAAGACTGGTGGTGGGTAATTTTTGTATACTGAGTGCATATGCTCAAATGCACACATCAACTACACCACCAAATTCCTGGTCAAAGTCAAGGCTGAAAACAGTCCAATAATCCAGTAAGCCTAGCAAAAAAGCTTTAACTGCCCCATGCCCAGCCCATGCACCACACAAAGAACCCTGTATTAGTGAACAAACCTTCTGTAGTAATGGTCGAAGCATTCATTACAGAAATGTTCCCCACAGGAAAGGTGATACCATCGTGACGTATAGCCATTTCTGGCACATCTGAAAATAATAAAGGTGTAGCTTTGTGTTAATGAATAAACACATCTTCTCAGTTAAAAACGCAAAAACATCTATCAGTATATCCCAAGCCCATTTCATAAGATCTCCACTGGCTTACTCTTGGGCCATGAGCTAACAGGGGAAACTGAAATGGATGACTAACACAGAATTCTGGCTGATGATCCTTTGTCTGAAATGACTGGAACCAGAAGGGATTTAGATCTCAGAATATTTTCAGACTGAATGAGATCTTGGAGAAGGGACTCAAACCTAAACATAAGATTATAACCACCTTACACACAGAGCCTGGAGGTTAATTTTATACAAATCTTAGTTCTGATGAAGGCCCAATCACATGAAGTCAGGGGTGGAATTCTCCACTAGTAGCATCATAGTCAATCTCAAAAAGTTTCCAAATTTAAAACATTAGGGATTGAGATTAGAGATGCTCTATCAGTAATACCAGGGAGCTCACCGGGGAGCTAACCTGGCTGGCTGCCTGGGGCACAGGAACCTGACTAGCTCTCCCAGGAGCATTAGTGGTGTTTTTGGAGATGAAACATGATGTACTGGGCTTGCTCTAAGTCCATGTGTGCGTGCATGCATGCATGCGATGAGAGTCTACTGATAACCTCTGGCCCAAAACTGAGCACTGAATAGAACTGGCTGCCACCCGAACGTCCAGCAGGTGATCTGGCACCAAAATATATCGAAAAGGTAATAAAAGAATGAGCAATCACACTACTTTGAGCACAGCCACCACCAACTCTGTGAAAAACAAATGGGGCTTGGGAGGTGTGGCTCAGAGCACCGGGTAAGGCTTAGGTGAGTTTTAGTCGATCTTAAGCCTTAGTTGAAGAATCTTTCCCCTCTGGAAGTTAATTAAAGGTCCTCTTTGTGCCACCAGCAAAAATGGTGAGACTACTGTTAACTACATGGTTGCTGTGAGACCTGTGTATGGACATGGGAAGAAAAGACAAGTGACTTGATGGAGAAGGAAAGCAGGGATGAGCAACACATGCCAGTCCCCACTAGGAGCTCCAGTCCTCTCTCCTTGCTGCCACCCCGAGCCCTCTCATCCTTCACCCCCAGGACAGGAACAGCCAAGATCCACTGCAAAGATGCTGCTGAATTACAAGTGACTTCAGTGTAGTCCCTCCCATGAGGCTAGGTAGGAAGTTGGCTGTGGTGTGCCGCAAATGTCTGAGCAATGTCTCTATTATTAGATGGCTTACAGTATCTGTATCTATCTTTAGGGTTTATCTTCAAGGATGGTATTCCCACAAAGCAAGCAGTCATGGGCAAGAGGGCCAGGCGCTGTAACAAACCTTTCAGAAGCACTTGCAAAGCACACAGGACACGTTGCTGTGCAGCCTGCCTTTTCACATTTTCTGTACTTCTTCTCTGACATGCCATCTTCATCCTCATCTACTGGCTCTGTCGCTTTCTTCTTTGCCTGTGAATTAGCTCTGGTTAAGATTTCCTGGGATTAAGTCAGGTACTATATTCCTAGCCACTCAGGAGACTGAGATCTGAAGATCTGCAGTTCAAAGCTAGTCTGGGCAGAAAAAGTCCATGAAACTCTTATCTCCAACTAACCACCAAAAAGTCAGAAGTGAAGGTGTGGCTCAAGTGGTACAGTACCTGCCTTAAGCAAAAAAAAAAAAAAGCCTCAAGAACAGTGCCCAGGCCATGAGTTTAAGCCTCAGTACCCACACAAAAGACTGCCTATGACTGACCAGGGGTGATAGCAGCAAAAGGTATACCACAGAAATCACATGTAAGAAGTTCTAAATGTGAAGGTAAACAATATCTTGACAGCAGACAGGGGCTGACCAGTCTAACAACTTTCCCACAATTGCACTATGCAAATAAGTTACTACCTTGCCAGAGATCTAGAGATAGCACTTTAATGATACTTATCTAAGAACTAATAAATCACATGGGGCCTTTCCTGAGAAAATGTTAGCAGTTAGGTCAAAACAAAAAAGTCATTTTCAAAATAATATTTTTTTCCCTTGCCAAGCACCCAGGCTCACATCTGTAATTACAGCTACTTGAACAGCTATTCAGCCTAGGCAAAAACAGCTGACAAGAACCCCTTCTCAACCAATAGCTGGGGGACGTGGCAAATGCCTAATATTCCACTTATTGGGAGACTGAAATAACGAAGATAAGAGTTCCAGCAAGCTCTGGCAAAAAGTGTATGAGACCCTATTTCAAGAGAAAATGCTTGGAATGATGGTGCACACATTTCATCCCAGCTACCACATGAAGCATACATAGGAAGATAATAGTCTAAGCCAGTCTAGGCAAAAAATAAGACCCAATCATGGCTGGGAATAGGGCTTGGTGGTAGAGTGCTTTCCTAGCATACGTTTAGTCCATTCGATTCCTTAGTACCACATAAACAGAAAAAGCCAGAAATGGCACTGTGGCTCAAGTGGTAGAGTGCTAACATTGAGCAAAAGAAGCTCAAGGAAAGTGCCTAGGCCCTGAGTTCAAGCCCCAGGACCGGCAAAAAAAAAAAAAGACCCAATCACAAAATTAATTTAGGATTGAAGGTGTGGCTCAAGTGATACAGTGTCAACCCAGGAAGCTTGAAGTCCCAAATCCAAACCCTTCTAACACCCCCAATTTTTTTTTTCCTTAGGACTGTTCAATCTTGTCAGTATCAGATGAAAAAAACTAGAAAAACCAAGTTACAACATTCAATTTATTCAGGAGGCTGAGCGCTGAAGTCCAAAGTTTAAAGCCAGCCTGAGCAGGAAAATCCATGAGACTCCCAATTAACCAGCAAAAAGGCAGAAGGAGAGCTATGGCTCAAGTAGGTACACACTAACTTCAAGCTAAAAAACTTAGGGACAGTGCCCAGGTCCTGAGTTCAAGCTCCAGGACCAGCACCAAAAAAAAAGTCCTACAAGTAACCCTTTAACATCATTCACCACTATAAGTAGAAGTCCAACTTTCAGTGAATGGCCTCCAGGCAAGCATGATCTTGCCACAGCATTCCCTCTGGAAGCAAGCACCCTACTATCTGCACCAGGGTCATGTTATCACAAAGCATTATTGCTGTGTGGAGCATTTCTCCATGACTTGGCAAACAACTTGAGGACTGAAGCTTGTCTTCCCATCTCCAACTCTCCAGTCCCATTCACAGGACTCCCATGTGTTCAACCAAGCTCCACAGAATGAAGGAAAAAGTGAGTAATACCTGTCTACCGGAGCTCCTCAGAGGCAGGCTATCCTGAGAAAGATCAAAAGTGGCTGTTCTTTTTTTTGACCTGCCCCGCGGGGCTGCCATTGTATTTGAAAATCTGTAAAAGAAAAAAATAATAAAGGTAAGTCATAAATACTGTTTTCAAGAGTCATTACACAGTTTAGTAAGTATAACTGTGTGTTCTGCAGTTAGACTGAGTTATAAAGCCACCACTTGTAAGTTAATTAACCTCCCTAAACTTCAATGTTCCCCCTTCTATAGACATGGTTTAAGGGTATACCACAGCAGTGTCAGTGAAATTAAATAAGACAACCTCTTTAAAGTACGAGTATTGCCATAAATATTCAATAATTATTATCCACTACCACTGTACACATTTTAAAAATGAGAAACAAGCTGGGCTCTAGTGGTTCACACCTGTAATTCTAGCTACTCCAGATGACGAGAGCTGGAGGCTATCAATTCGAAGCCAGCTTTGGCAGAAACACTCCCATCTCTCCAAAATAACCAGCAAAAATGACAAGAAACCATACACATAATTCATCAAAAAATTATACCACTGTTTGTAAACTTGGATGAAAATACCTCGTTTTTGTTACGTGCCTTTCATCTTGCTGTGTTTTCTTAGCAGTTCCTGATTTATGTCTTAGTGTACTTTAAAAAACTTGCTCTTTTAGCAAGACAATAGCAAGCACACTGTCTATAGTCACTGTTCAACACAGGAATCTTGTTTAATAGAAGCATTATATTGTTTTCTACTAGAAAAATCTAACAAGTTCTCAAACTAGTCTAACATCAGTTACACAAACATTAAGAACTAAAAATCTAAAGATAAATTGTGCAAAATAACCATGGGATTGTGAACTCTCCAAATTTTTTTTGTTTTTTTTTTTTGGTCCAGTCGTGGGGCCTGAACTCTGGGCCTGGGCGCTGTCCCTCAGCTCTTCAGCTCAAGGCTAGCGCTCTACCACTTGAGTCACAGCGCCACTTCCGGCTTTTTTCTTTTTGCTTATGTGGTGCTGAGGAATGGAACCCAGGGCCTCAGGCATGCAAGGCAAGCACTCTACCACTGAGCCAACTTCCCAGCCCTCAAATTTTTTTTGTAAGGAAGAAAAAATACTTAGCATAAGTAATCAATAGATGGATTTATAATTACATCATCTTTCCTGATCCATTCTTTTACCACACACACAAAATGAAAGATGAGAAATCAACACAGCTAGTGACTAGCAACTAGGAAGCAGAAATGTGGCACCCTAAAATACAAATTCAACATAAACAATCCGCATCTTGTTGAAAAGCTGGGAAGACCTTGTGGCTCTACCTGTGTGAATTTTACTACTGTCCACAAAACTATTCCCTCAAGAATGATTAATGGCAGGTGGAAATGCTTTGCCACTACTCTAACTTTGAGAAACTGTGACATCAATATTAGAGATAGTTTTGAGAAAGTGAAGAGATAAGCCAAAGGAAAACTAATATAGTGGTAGGTGCAAACACATAAGCCATAGATTCCAAAATGTATTAGTAGTTAAATTATCACCACCCAGAGTGGCTCTGATGGAAGATTAGAAGCACAGTCTCAGCACGCACAAGATCCTGTGTTCGATCCCCAACACTGAAATGCACGGTCATTTAGTTCTACAGCACTGACTGAATTGCTAATGCAATAAATCTACCTCCTGGCTACTAAGGAGGCTGAGACGGGAGGACTGAGGTTTGAAGCCAGCCCACACAAAGTCTGAGATTCTTATCTCAAATTAATCACAAAAAATGCCAGAAGTGGAGCTTGCAAAAAAAACTCAGGGACAGTACTCAGGCTATGAGTTCATGTGTGCACGTGTGCACACGCGCACATGCACGCACACACTCAAGTACCATCTACCTATATAGCCATCTTGCATTCAATAAAGGTTTCCTGGATCCCATCTGTATTTCCAAAAGGCTGTCCAACCTAACATTCATTCACATAAAAACAAATGTTGACATAGATGATATATATATATATAAATCTCTTCATCTAAATGTATAATATATATCTCATTCATAAAATGAGCTGCAAATAGAATGTAAAAATACATATTTACAAATGTTTAGGATACGTATTTACACATAGAATATGTAAGCATCATAATAAAAATACCTGAAGTCAATATGAAGTTTAGAACTTTAACAAATAAATAAGCCCACGTTCCTACAACGTTTTAACCTGTCCCTAGGAATGCTTGCACTCCCCAAAGCAGGCATGCTTTCTAGAAATTTCATGGAATACATCGTACATTGGAAAATACATACTTAAAACAAATATAATTCAGGAAACGGTTAAAGAGAAAATGAAACATGAAGTATAAAAGCTATCATTAAATCTGAATGACTGTTTTAAGGTACCTCATTTTCACCTTGAATTATGCAATTGACAGTTACCTGCTTCTATTCCTTTTTGGAACTTAACATGTATTTCCACTATTGCTAGGCCCTTGAGTCTTAAAACTAAGGAAAAAATGGTATTTAAAGTTGTAATGATTTGTTATAGCGCTTTTAAGTATCTTAAAAATACTAAAATGTCATTAATTCAAATAATATATGAAGTTTTCTCATTAGGTTCTTCAAACTATAAAGACAGCAAACCAAACGAAATCTATTTGCTTCATGTTCAACGTTTTAGAAGCACATTTCTTCCTAATCTTAAATCCAGAGCTTTGGTTTCTGTTTTTTTTTTTTTTTTAGTGATGAAAGAAAATAGGTGTTGCTTTTAAAACTACACAGATGAGTATGTTACTATCGATATTGCTACTTAATTCCCAGGTGTTTCTAATCACATTCATTTTTAAAAAATTAAGGCACTTGCAGAATTACTGAAATAGGAATCAGATGGACTCTAGGGTAGACTAAAAATTTAGTAGAGCCCTCAAAACTTCTGAAAACAGGACAAACTGCTAGAAACTTCTACAGAAATGTGGCTCCCCAAAAGGGCCATTTAAAATAAAGATTACCTACCTTAATATTCCTAGTCAAATTTTCAGAAATATGGATCCAGTACACTTCATCATTAAATGAAGCAAGATTCAATATCCAGTTCAATTAATTAAATACTGAATTCCCATTTCCCTGTTCGTCTTTTCTAGACAACAATTAATTAGTGATGGTAATTTCTCAGTTTCCTGAAGAAACCCCACCTCCCTCTGGTCTTTTACTATAATGGATTTTTTTTTAATGGCAAAAGCCATGGGTTATATGTACATACACAAAGTGGGAGCCCCAACCCCATCCCCACCCTAACTAGAGTGATCTATGGAGTCCTGGGAAGCTCACCCAGTTTAAAAAGAAAAAAAAGAGGGGGGGCTGGGCCTCTGTCTGGGTTCCAGATTGCTGACCCCCCAACTTTCTACAGCTGGGCCTGCCTCTTCCTTTCCTCTCTCACCCGGCAGCTGCGGGGCAGTGGACAGACGAACAGCCAGGCTAACCCGGCCGCCCCCTCCCCGGTGTCCAATCCCAGGGGAGTTACCGCAGCAACCCCGCAATGCTAACCCCCCCCCC